GCGGGCGTGGGGGTTGTAGCTTTACGTTCACTCATCCACTGTCCGTGCTCACGAAGCACAGGCACCAGGTCCTCGTGGGGGCGGTTGGGGCAGTGGGATGTGTGGGAAGGGCCTGTTCTCGGCCGCTCTGCTCCCACAGACTTCTCTGTCCAGCCCCAGCTTGGCAACCTGTCTTGGGGGCAGGGGTCATGTTCCTTGAGCTCTTTTCCTCAAGGAACAAAGCTGGACTAAAGGAAGTAAGGGCGGGGCGGGGGGAGTGTGTGTGGGGGAGGGTGGTGAACGGGACATTTTTCTAGTGGGCAGAAGTTCCCAGTGCCTGGTGCCCTTTACTCTCTCTCCCATTCCCGGGAGACATCCTAGGAGGTGGGGATTCTGAACCGGGAGCCTGGGTGAGGAGTACAGGTGCATTTTTATGGGCTGCATCCTTAGTCTTCATCTTTCCTCAAAGTGTCTGATTCAGAAAGGCTAAGAATGCCTCCCTCTTTCTATTGGGTTTTCTGCCCTTGGTCCATGGTGGACCTGCCTTGTTCTGCCCTGTTCCCTCTGTCTGGGGCCTGGGAGTACAGTGGGGCCTTGACTTACGAGTGTCCCAGCTAACGAGTTTTTCGAGATACAAGCCGTCTCGGCCGATTTTTTGCTTTGAGTTGCGAGCTAAAATTCGGGTTACGAGCCAGCTTCAGATACCCCACCGCTAGTTGGCGCAGCGAACGTCACAGTGAACACCACAACATCAGCCCAGCATCACGTGTCTCACTCGTTCACTTTAAGATTTGACATACGAGTAATTTGAGTTACGAGCTCCATCACGGAACGAATTAAATTCGTAAGTCAAGGCCCCACGGTAGGGGGTTGCGGGGCCCAGATGGTAGAACTGTCCTGAGGGTCCCCACAGGTCTGCTGGTTCAGGGCCTCACGAGTCGTCTGCCTTCGGGGGACAGAGTCAATCTACAGGTGGATGCGCAGAGTCTGCTGAGGCTGGCGGAGCCGACAGGCCAGAGATGCCCATGTTCTACCTGCTGCCGTGTTCTGTGGCCACTTCCTGCCACTGAGGAGAGGGCCGGCTTCTACCAGGCAAGCCTTGGGTCATGACATTGAGTAGCCACAAACCTAACGGAGCGAGAGCCAGGGGACCCGGGTGTTGGTCCTAGCCCTGCTGTTCACTTAGCCGGGCCACCTCAACTCTTGCTTTTCCCTCATCTGTAAATTGAAGGAGATGGATGATTCGCTGCTTCTCAAACTCCCTGCCTCAGACTCTTCAGCGGGTGGGGCCTGGGAAGTTGTAGTGAGTACTTTCCCCGGGAGATTCTCACACAGGCATCTGGATGCGTCTGGGAACCTTGGGCCAGCTCAGTGGTTCTCCCCGGCTGCCCATTAGAATCATCAGTGGAGCCTTTTGAAAAAATGGCTATGCCCGCATGTAGGGAGCGGTTATAGGGTTAAGCCTCGGACTGACCTGTTGGCAAAGCCACAAACAAGTCCCAGCTTAGAGGGCACAGCTCTCTTAGCATAATTAGGCTTGACCTATGACTCTCCCTAGATCCTATCTGGGTAGCTAATGGGCTGTGGGAGGTGCAACAAGTGTTGCCAAAACAAGTGAAACTCACAAGAACATTGTAACTATGGTGACCACTACCTTGTTTACCTCTGGCTGTAAAATAAAGGCTCAGCTTGCAGCTGGATCTCTCTCTGTGGCCTCAGCCAGGCATGGGAGGTCCACCCAGACCCAGCTTATTCTTCTTTAATCCTTCACCGCCCCTCCTCAGGCTCACCGAACCCTTGGCTGTGCTGGCACGGCACACCTACATTCCACCCCCGCCCGGGGCAGATGAGGCGTGGCGATTCTGGCGATTCTGATGTCCAGCCAGGACCTCTGTCCTGAGCTCTGGGGAAAGGCCTGCAGCAGGCCCTCAGATGGTTGGATGCATGGGCAACTGAGCTTGAATCAGGGTCTCGGGTGAGGCAGGACGTAGGTGCTGGCAGAGTTGGCCCGTAAGACTCAGAGACAAACCAGAGAGTCTGGCTTGGAAACGGCTCCCTCCTTCCTTGCTTGCTCAACCAGCCTTCCTTGGCCCAGGGCAAAGGGAGACAAGGCTTGTCAAATACGAAATGGAGAGAAATGTGGAGCATTATTGGTTTATTAGAAAAACTAGTAAATGGGTTTCCTGTTTGGTGGAAGCACGTTTGAGCAGGTAGAGGACGAGGCCCAATTGGCCCCAGGTTGCGTGGTCTGTGCCCAACAGGGTTGCAAAGTCCTCTGTAGCTGCCTCCTCCGCTCTGTCCTCCCTGAGCTTGCGTGTCCAAGGGACCAAGTCATGTGGCCCTTGGGCTCTCTGCCCCTCCCACTGAAGGGAGGAGGGGATCCAGGACCAGCCTCCGGGACCCTTGTTGCCCTCCAATAGGCAGGAAGGAAGTGCTGGGGACGGGAGCCTCTGACAGGCCTCCTGTGATGGGTGCTAGTGGGGGAGGGAAGCCTAAGAATCATCCATCCCCCCTCAGCCAGAGTCCGTGGAGGCCAGGGGGTGAAGGGGCAGGAGGACCACCCGGCCATGCCCAGAGGGAGCTTCCTCAACTGCCCTGGGAGGAAGCCTGGTGTGCTGGTGTGGACTGGAGCTGTCTCGACCTAGTTTGGGAATTCTGTTAAAAGACTGCAGAGTAGAAAATGGAAGGAGGACAAAAAAGCCCAAAACACCACAATTGCCTTGCCAGGGCACCAGGGGCTTCGCCCCCATGTGGCACCGTCTCCCAAAGCTGGGTGCCTGCACTGTCAGCCCAGTTGGAGGGTCTGGGGGCCTGTGTGGTGTGATGTGGGAGCTGGCACTAGGCGGCGGGTCGCATGCAGCTGGCTACCCTTGATCGTCGGGGACCTGGCCGGTTGGGTCCTCGTGCTTCCTTTGGGGCTGAGATTCCTCGCTCAGGTGCTACTTTGGCACACGTGGAGTGGAGGGGCGGCCTTGGCCCTGGGCTCCCTCAAGACTGGCCTGGGAAGCAGTGGAGGGAGACTTGCCAGCACCTGCTCTTCAGCAGGGAACGGGCTCTGCCCGGAGCAGGACGTGCCCTCAGATGTACCAGAGGCCTTCTTTCTTGCCAGGTGAGTGTAGTTACCTCACTGCCTCCTGCCTCGGTTTCCCCAGGTGCAGAAAGAGGCTAGCGAGTGGTCTATACTACACTCCCTGTAGGTACAAAGAGGGCTGCAGGGTTACGTGTACAGAGGCCACATGAAGGCCCTGGCTGCAGGGCGGGACCACCCGATCCAGGGATGTCAGGCTCCCATCGGAGAACTTCCCGCCCATGGTTCTTGTCCGCTGAGGTCAACTTCACCTTGACGTAGTGGCCTTGATCCC